GCCTCCTGTAGCCTTCTGGGTAGCTGGGACTGCAGAAAGGACTGTGTCTGGCTGGATCTGGATCTGTATTTCCAACAAGCTCCAGGGTCAATGTGATGCTATGCGTCCAGGGACCACACAGCAATGAGGTAGTGCTCCAACTCCTGAGGAGAACTTTTACCAATAAAAAACTACCCAAGTCAGAGGTCAGATGACCTCCACTCATCTCCACACCGGGGATGATCCAGGTGACCCAGCATGGGGCTTCAGCAAGTCACTGTCCTTACCCAAGCTGGCTTTCAGGTCCCCGGAGCTTTTCTCAACACCATTCTTATCCATGAAGTGTGAATCTGGCATGCCCTTCTCCACTTCAGACAGCAGGGGGCACTTGATGCTCGGCTGTGCCGTCCACCCTGCACCTCTGAGACTCAGAAAACCTGACACTCGGAGATATCTCCACTTGCTTTCAGGCTGAATTCCCAGCATTTCTCTCATCTTTTCCTTCAACAACTTGCCTTAGGGACAATGGAGCAGCAAGTGCCCACCAGCTTGGTGATGAGGATGCTGAAGATGAAATGAATGGGCTCATGTGACACATACACTTCCTTTGTGGACCACACACTGGGCCTCTAGCTGGAGTCCAGGCCTGACTCACTGGCTAAAGATAACCAGCCATAAAGGAAGCCAAGAGATCTGAGGAGTGAGTGTTTCGAACCCTGATTTAAGTGGGATGGAAGCAATCCTATTTTTTTTTTTAATTAACTTTTGAGGCAGAATTATTTTTGATTGTTTATTTTTATTTTATGTACATTGATTGGTGTTTTACCTACAAGTCTATCTGTGTGTGTGAGGGTGACAGATCCCTTAGAACTGGAGTTACAGACAGTTGTGAGCTGCTATGTGGGTGCTGGGAATTGAACCCTGGTCCTCTGGAAGAACACCAATGTTCTTAACCACTGAGCCATCTCTCCAGCTGGAGACAGAATTATTACGCAGCACAGTTGGCCTTAAACTTGGTATGTAGTGGAGGATGACCTTGAATCCATCCATCTGCTGCACCTCCCAAGTGCTGGGGTCCAGGTATACCCTACCATTCCATTGGGAGGGATTTAAAGAGCACTGTATTTCATCATGGGACCAGGGGTTTCTGCTCTTACCCACAGAACCCTCGGCCCTGAGGCTGGGTTGGAAAGAAGAGGGCTCTTGATTTAAGCAGCTCTATAAGCTAAAGCAAAACATTGGGCAGGAGATTTCCTCCTCAAGGGCTGGAGCAAGTCTTCTGTCTTGGAGCCTTTAAAAGGCAGAAAAGTAGCCCTTGTCACAGCTCTCTTTGTAGCATATACAGACCTCTGCAGAAAACCACAACTGGTCAGGTGCAGAGAACAACTGGTCATGCAGGGCGCATCCCAAGGGATACAGCTACAGCACAACCTCTGACCAAAGGCTCACGACATAGCTC